GAGAAGCAGGGCGGCGGCTTTAGCATGTTTTGGGTCTATCGAGCGGGGCATCTGGTCCAGGAGGATAATCCGGCGGCCATGTCGCATATTCTGCGTGAATTTACTGGCTTTGGATAATGTTTTTCATGTGTGTGCCTCTGTGTGTCTCTTGGCAATAAAGTTTAAGCTACACTCAGAGAAAAAAGCTGTTACAAGCTCAAGTGTAATTTTTGTTCTTGAAATTCCAGATAAATTTCCTAGAGAAAAATTCTTAAATTAAGCTATGCCTGACTTTAGAATTGTGCATAATATACCAATAAAGATAAGACAAAGAGATGGATTTGAGTGTAAAATAACGAAAAATATTCTAAATGAAAGCACCACATTTACTAAAGTGAATTTTGAATCTTCTTCAAGAAAGAATTTTGCTCGCAGTTAAAGAAATTCCACTCTAGGCTGACAATATTTGTACATAATTTGAGTATAAAATTCTTGGTTTTATCTTTACGAAGTCGGTTATTAAATGATTTTATTCTGGCTGGCAACTTGGCTTAAAGTGAAGTATCCAGCAGCTAGCGTCTAGACCAAAATGTGGCAAACAATCTTTTAACAATTTACTGGAAATTAACTCAAATTCATGTTCTGTGCTTGTGCTGGCTGCTTACAATGCGGTCTACCTCAGAGCCCACAGACAGACAGACGTCGGGGTAAAACCCCTGACGACTTCCTTTCCGCAACCCATGCCTATTGCTGTAACGTTTTACAGGTGCACCGCATCAATTTATTTTCCACACAAAAGCCTATTAAAACTCGCACACACTCACAGACACACACTGGAGCCCTCCTGATGGGCGGGCAGTGGGTGGCAGCTCAGGGGGCTAACTAAATGGTTGCCAAATGGAAACACTTAACCTTTTTTTCAGCTTCTTCTTTTGCTTTTACCATTTTTTTTCTGCTGTGAGAAAAATGAGCAAAAGTTGTGGTTGAGTGGAAAAGCTGCTGCTGCGTTGTGTCTCGAACCGCAGCAAAACAAATTAATTAAAAACTTAAAAGTTTTTCTGCAGCCGAGCAAGAGATGAGTACGAATCAGTGGGAGGAATAAATAGAGTGCAGAGAGGTAGAGAAAGAGAATATCGTAAATTCTTATTGCTTGTCCACTTGGATTCGTCAAAAATTGAAGTGAAAATTGATTTAGAAGATAAAAACATGTTGATATCTCCCGAATATGGTTTTAAAAAGGTCTACAAACTGAAAAGAGGTTTTTAAATAAATTTTAAATGTTTTATTTAATCAATTTTAAATGTTTGCATATCGTTAGAGAATGAAAATGTCTGGTTATGGGAAAGTTATTCCATTCTCATTAGTTAAACAAATAAGAATTCACGAATTATCCAAAAGTAAGTCGAAGCCAAATGATAGGTATATATTAGGTTATAATTAAATATTTGGGAAATCTCTCCTCGCACGCCTTGTTGGTTTAAAAATGTATTCTTTGGTTTAAAATGTATTCAAGCAGTATAAAAGAATATCTCACTTTCACATAAGCCTTATCATATTTTTTTCAAATCCCGTAGCATTTATTTGTACAGTTTATCCTTTGTTTTACAATCCTAAAGTGGCTATCGGAAATTTTTGCGACTAGAATAAATCTTTTCCTACTGCGAGCAAACATTTTTTTCAATCTCTTGTCTTGAGTAAAGCCAGCAAAAGGGATGCCTTAAAGCTGTATGTTACTGTGTGCTGATTATTCAAGTTAAATTTCTTGATTCCAGCTGGAAAGTAAAGACATTTTTCAGAACTGTTTCCAATCCAGCTCAACAACATAAAATCCGGAAAAATGTTATTTTTTGCTTGTAACATTTGTTAGAATGAGTTTTCTTATTTTGTTCTTATTTTCTTGAAAAGCAATTAACAAATGTTTTTCAAGCAAGTCAAAATCAAGAAGCCATGCTGACTTCTCTGGTTTCTCACTCCCCTCCCGCATCGCCTCTACACACCACCACCACCACAAGTTTTGCTCGACTCGCATTTGAATGTTTTTGACAACGCGAAGGAGTTGCCAGTGCAGTTTTAATGAGGGCGCCACCTGGCTGCGGCAACGTTGACGCCTGTTGACAAAGGCTGCTGCCAAGCAACCGCAGCCCCGCAAGGGAAGGGCAGGAAAATCAATTTGCACGCACACACACACACACACACACACACACGGATGCACACAGCTGACGCTGGCACCGTTGGACAAAACCGAAATTGCCAGTTGAATGCGTTTTCGATTGTCCATTAGCAGCATCCAACTGCAGCTCCAGATTCAGCCGCTGCTCCTGCTCCGACACCAGCGCCAGTTTCAGCTACAGCTGCAGCTTCTGAGTATCATGGCATCAACTCATCCCCATTTTTTGCTGCTGCCTCGTGCCAAAAGTCATTTTCGAGCAATTGGCTGGGTTCGCTGACTGCCAAAGCAAAGCCAAGAGATAAAGCTTTAGAGAGGCAGAGAGGCAGGGATAAGTATGTGTGGGACGATGTTGGTGGGCGGGGGTGCTGTGCATTCACATGCACAATAAATTTGCAACAGTGCAATGGGCAGCGACCACGCCTCGCTTGCAGATGCTTAGCAAGACGAGGCCCATACGCCCCCGAACTCACACAATCATACAACACACACACGCCCCCACACACTTCTGATTCACATTCAGATCGCCAGCAATGCAGTCGAGTGCGAAATTGCAAACAGCAACAACAAAACGACGCGCTGAAAAGTATGCAATGACATAGGGACAACCACCACACAGACATTGTATACACCAAGGGTTACTCGAATAGGACAAGTTGAAAATAAAATTTGAGAAACGACAGTAGCCAAAACTCAATAAAAATCTTGGCTGGATACACACTTGTAATATAAATATTAGCCACCTCTGTTCTTGTTTTATATACGTTTCAAATAAATAGATATATTTGTATGATGCATACAAACTTAATTTCAATAATATCATGAGAGAAGTAGTAATATGTGTAATCTTCTTAAAATTGTATATTAATATACTATTATTATTATTATAGCTTTTAATATTAATAACATAATTATTATTAATATTTTATCATTTTTTTTTTTATATTATTTATTTTATTATTATAAGTATTATTACTAGTCGAATATATTACTATTAAACTATGATACTTACACTTGAAATAACTCAACTTTTTAAAGTCCCTATAAAACCAACATTTAAAACAACCAACATCTAAATAAAAAGCTAAAATAACCTATAGTTGCAAAAATAAAATCTTCTTTAAATCTTTCGCTAAGGGTGCCTATGCAACTGAAGCGCACTGTTGCAACAATCAGGTTTTAAGTGGGGTGCTGCCAAATGGTTTTTAGTCGGTTTTTGCAGTGCTGCCAACCCATTTGACGCTGTTTTTTGTGTCATTCAATGTCTACCTCGTAACTCGTCCCTCTTTGGAACACTTTGTCGCACTGTTTGGCCCGTTATGCGCCCTGTCTTGTTGTTTTTGCCACCTAAATTACAAGTTTTTCATTTGTGGCTTTTTCAGTTGACGCCATAATATTTTACACTTTGCCGGGGACGACCTGGCAAACCGCAAAAAACACTGAAAAAACTCAAAATTGCTTAACAATAGTAATTTGCAAATGATGAGCAAATAGCTTTAAATGTTTTAAAAAGCTACATGCAACGCAAATTGTTTTACTAACGTGTAAGGAGTTAAACGAAGGAAATCGTGAAATGATGTAAAACATTATGTAACTTTTTTGGTGCATATTTTCTCTAATAAGTTTCTCTGTTCCTTTATAATTATTACTTTTTCCAAAAAATAACTTAATATTTATTCAATTAAGCTTACTTTTCTTAAATTATATTTTAAGTATTCCTTAAATCTTAAAATCCCGCTTCTCATTGCGAGTACGCTTAGAAGTATCTCGACCTTTTCTAAACTTTTTCTGCACCTTGTTCTGAGTTTTTTCTTTTAATGAGTCTTACACTATTTAGCTTTTTTCCCTTATGTATCGAATTTGTATGTCCCATGTCAAGAAATCCTCTCAGTTTTCTCTTACACTAGCAGAAAGTCCAATTTTTTGCAGATACTTTATAGTTATTTTTTTCCTTTCCTTATCTTGGCTTAGATCTATGTATTGCTTATATGTTTCAATACCTTTAGCAAGTTTTTCATTTTAATAAAAGTTTCTCCCTTTCCAAACATACTTACATTTACACATAGCATACACAACCCATGATTCAAATAAAATACATTTAATTTGGCTGCCATTTTATTCACAGTTTCAACTAAAAGTAAATTCACACTTGCTTAACAATGGTTAAATACTTAGTTAGGTATTAAAGTTTTGTAAGCAAGCAGTATTTTTTAAATACTCACATATATATACCAACAAAAAGACGCCTAGAAACAACAACGTTTAAAGTTTTACACACGCAGAAAAAAACAAAAGGAAAATTCCAGATAATAAATTAGGAAATTTCTTGCTTACATTTTTAGAAGTTTTTCGCATGTCTAATGAATTATGTACATTTGACTTAGGTTTAGGTGAGACAAGTGAAATATTAAATTTATACAGCATATGTTTGGTATTTTTATTTATCCTTTTACATTTTTTTTTTGTTGTTTTGGTATATGTACTATGTATACTATGTATATATATATTTGATTTATGGGATTTGAGGGCGCGAGGAGGGGGCAGCTCTCTGTCTTTGACGCACAACAAACATCCGCTATATTCTAAAGTTAGTGACAAATGCTACTAGTCGATACATATATATATATATATATATATATATATATATATATATATATATATATATATATATATATATATATATATATATAGCTCATTGGAGCGGACAACCATGGGTCAGCTTCTTTTTTGAGATGTGCAAAGATATTTCAAAGTAATAAGAAAAGCGCAAAAAAAGTTACAGCAAATAATAATATTATATAGCTTTTTCTTTCCAAATTCTTTTAAATTATAAATAAAAATTGTTTTCTAAGAATTGTCCAGTTTGGTTTTGATTAAAATCGTAATTCGAGATTTATTTCTGCTTTATTCTTTTTAGGTCAAATATCCGCTAAATTTTGTAGTTAAAAAATATTGATTTTAATTTATGTAAAAAACATATAGATAGTTCGCACTGCATGCAGGGAGGACTCTTCTAGCATACAGATTCCCAGGTTTTTTTATAGTTAGCCAATTTCTAGTTAATTTTTTCCTAGTTTTAAAAATATATGCTGTCCCAATCCCATTCCTTGAGCGAATAAAAAGTCTTACAATTAAATTGTAGGAATCTTGAATATAAAAATTTTGGTGATAGCATGAAAACTGAAGCTTCAACAGATCCTTTAGAAGTACAATCAAGCGAAAAAACAGCTGATCTTTAAAGGGAGCATTCACTGTATACTATATGATTTCTATAAATATTGTGAGAGCTCCATGTATATAACTATTTATGTATATAGGCTTTTGCCTAGGTTGCCTTAGCTTGCGTTTTGAAGTCTCCATTTCTCCGGGCAGCTGCTGATCCTCGGGCCAGCGCATCACCGTAGCTCCTTGCCCAGCGTCATTAGCTGCGACTGCAAGCTGCTGCAGCTGCTCGGGTCTTGGCTTCTCCTGCCCGTCCTGCTCAGCTGAACGGCAGTCCAGGCCAAGTGCAATAGACCCATTAACAGGAACCCAGTTGGTTGCTGTTGCAAATCGAGTGCGCAACGTCTGGAGGCAGCATCTGTGCGTGTGTGTAGCAAAGCAGAAAGAAAGTAGAAAACGAAACATATTGAAAGCGGCTTAAGTTTGTTTTACGTTGAATCCGAGTGTGTGTGTGTGCGTGCATGTATGTGTTGGGTTATGTGTGTGTGAGTGCGAGCGGTGTGGGTTGTGTCTGTAGCACCCGCTGGTGAAATTAATCTTTGAATTAATTGCTTGTAGCTTAGCGCAAAGCATTAATAAATCGTGGCGCAGCACAAAGCAAACAACAACAATGGCTAATAAGGTGAGCTGCTGCCGCCTGCCTCCTTCAGTCTCCAGCGTTCTGCGTCCTTTTTCCACTAACTTTGATTTAATGCTCCACCGTTTATCATTCTAATAGCGTGCGTGTAATGTATCCCAATCCCCAGCGGTCTCCTTCGCATTTGTTTTAGTTGCAAAACAATCAGGCTAAGATTTGTATACCTACTCCAGCAGGCTGTGTGTGTGTGTGTGGGTGCGTGGTGTGTGCGGTGTGCGGGTTGACCAATGCTTATTTTAGCATAGACTTTGGGCTAATTTTTAAACAAACGTTCAGCACTTTTGCAATGGTGCGCCCAACTAATGTGCGGCTCTTAATCAAATGAGTTATTGATTACACACATTGGCGAAAAGGGAAAAGGCCAACGGATCCCTTAAGCGTTCCAATGCTTTAGAAATTGTTGAACACAAAGGGAACTAACTGCCGTGATTTGGACTTGAACTCTTTTGTCGTTCGAAAAATATAGAATCGTTTAAAATTGAAGCAGAAACTCACAACACATCGAAAACAATAAAGACGGATTGAGTTATACATTATTCACTTATTTTCCGTACGTGAGTGTGAGTTTTTAAATCGGATAACATTTGGCTTAATTACATTTTAAAGTGCATCTTTTTTTATTTACGTCCCTGTCGTTTTTGGACCCCAAAAACAAAGATTTTCAAAACAAATAATTTTTTTTTAATTTTATATGTGTTATAAGTAATTATAATTTTAATAGGATTATTAATAATGGTAAGCTTAAGAGTAATACAGATAATGACAATGACAATAATACAGATAATGACAATGACAATGACAATGACAATATCAATGACAATGACAATGACAATGACAATGACAATGACAATGACAATGACAATGACAATGACAATGACAATGATAATGATAATGACAATGACAATGACAATGACAATGACAATGACAATGACAATGACAATGACAATGACAATGACAATGACAATGACAATGACAATGACAATGACAATGACAATGACAATGACAATGACAATGACAATGACAATGACAATGACAATGACAATGACAATGACAATGACAATGACAATGACAATGACAATGACAATGACAATGACAATGACAATGACAATGACAATGACAATGACAATGACAATGACAATGACAATGACAATGACAATGACAATGACAATGACAATGACAATGACAATGACAATGACAATGACAATGACAATGACAATGACAATGACAATGACAATGACAATGACAATGACAATGACAATGACAATGACAATGACAATGACAATGACAATGACAATGACAATGACAATGATAATGATAATGATAATGATAATGATAATGATAATGATAATGATAATGATAATGATAATGATAATGATAATGATAATGATAATGATAATGATAATGATAATGATAATGATAATGATAATGATAATGAAATGATAATGATAATGATAATGATAATGATAATGATAATGATAATGATAATGATAATGATAATGATAATGATAATGATAATGATAATGATAATGATAATGATAATGATAATGATAATGATAATGATAATGATAATGATAATGATATTGATAATGATAATGATAATGATAATGATAATGATAATGATAATGATAATGATAATGATAATGATAATGATAATGATAATGATAATGATAATAAGTAATAATTACATGAATATGAAAATTAAAACTAATATTTTTGAACATTTCTATTTCCAGAAATAATTTTTGATCAATTTGCAGAAAGTTGAAATAGGGATATTATATTTTCCAAGGGTAAAACATATTTCTTTATCAGTAGTCAGATTTTAGTCGATGGGTTATTTTCTATACATACTAATAAATTTATGTCGAATTTTATAGTGAGGGTCTTAGTGAAGAACCAGCACAGCGCTATATTGTGTATACGTGAATGTTTGTGTATGGATTATTGTTCGTTCTGATCTGTTCTATCTATATACATACTACATATATATATTAGTAAATTGAGGAGCCATTAACTATCTGTGAACGTTTCATTTGAGCTATTTATTCAATTTTGTACTCACTTTTGTAGGGCAACTGAAGGTCATTATGTTCATCCGCATCGCCAGGCTGGTCGAAGGGATACATATTCATATCCGGCGAGCGGCCTGAGGCCAAGATACGTGGACGATCCTCCTCGATAAGTTTTTCACTCTCCTGTGCATAGATATTATGAATGCGGGCCGAACACTTCAACTGCGAATATAAAATAAATACTTAAAACTTTATTAATTGGATGATGCAAAGAAACTCACCTTAAGGCGACCTTTGATAAAATGATGCGTTGTCACGACAAAATTAAGCTCCAGAACAGCTGACTCCAGGTGTTCGGCCAGATGTTTTTGAATGTCATATGTACGCAAATAATTTGGTGGCACCTGCGGGCAAATAATAAATATGATATATAAAATCTATATACACAAATATATTTTTTATATGCAATAATAAATGTATTAATATCTTGAAAAAAAAACATTTAAAAATTAAAAAATATTAAACAAAAATATATACATAAATAATTATAAATATACCTGTATATCATTGATCCACCACGTGAGATTAGCTGCAGGCTTTGAGTAATCCGACGAGCAGTTGCCATTGATAATATCGCCTAGACGATAACGTGAGTGAATACCCGTTATAATGGGCCGCTGAGTGGGCAGCTCTGTACATTAAAAGCAAACATGAATATTTTTAAATAATACACAGCAGGCAGATTGAGTAACTACATACCCACAACTTCCATATCCGCAGTCACAATTGAGGTATCGAATGTGGGCGCATCTGCGGATACTTCGCAAGCAAATTTGCCAGATATGGAGGTGGGAACATTACGCAACAGCACATGGCTGGCATTCGATTGTGTGGTCTGTGAAGAGATAGTTGTGTTTTAATTAAAGTGCTTCATATTTGGTTAAGAGACTTAAATGTGGAATTGATAAATGTTGTGACGGTGTTAAGCATTGTTTCATATTTATATATGTATATATGTATATGTATATGTATATGTATATGTATATATATATATCCCATTAAAAAGGAATTGCGAACATTTTCAGTATTATAAAAAAAATGTTTCAAATTAATTGTTGGAGACTTTTTATAATTCTTTTAATTTTCTATCTATTTATATTTATGCATCTCCTCTGATACGACATAAAACTATAACGACAAATAAGTATATACATTGAAAAATAAATTCTATTTAAAACCCAAAAATATTTGAATCTTAATTTTTATACCCTTACAAAGAATATTAAAATCTTTGTCGTGAAAGAAGTAAGGCATAGAAGAAGACATCAGACAACAGGCGAGTGAATATAGCCTTTTCCGTCTGTCCATCTATCTGTTTCTTTGCGAGCTAGTCTCTCAGCTGTAAGCTACCATTATGCAACTAACATATGCCGGAACCAGCTGCTTACGACCTGGTTTTCAAAATATCTTGACCAACCTCGAAATTTATTAGTTGTACTTTACCTTCTCGTTCTTACTTCAAGCAGAGGTTGCCTAATGTAAGCAACAGATTTCAGCCCTGCCTAAAAGTATGCTTTAGTAAAATTTTAACTACAGACGCTTAAGCGAGTACAATATCTTGTTGCATACTTTTACACTGCATGTATAAAATAATTAAATCTATCCTTACCTAACATCAAACCAATTTTTAGAATAATTACTATATAAATGAAAATTATAAAATCTTTACAACAAATTAATTTAGTTAATCCGCTCTAAAAATCAATCTCATATATATATGTTCTCAACATTAAAAATAATTAAAATAGATAACTTAATAAATTGACTGGTAGAATTCATATTGAATAAACATGAAAGCAATATAAACAAAGTATAAATAAATATAAATGTATCTTGAATGTAGAATTAACGCATAAATAATTATTTACCTCTATTTGGACTGATTAATGTGCAGTTGTTAAACAAAAAGATTCTGCATTGGTCGCACAAAGAGTTATTATACTTAAATATAAATATATATGCATAATGCACGTGTGCTTCATTTTATGGAAGATATTTTCTGCTCGGCCGCAAACACGCTGAATGCAACAGCTTGGACACAATTTTGCGGCAGTTCGCTTTTAATTTTCGCAATGTCAGCAAAAGTCAACAATAAAATGCACCGGATAAAATGCCAGTCAGAGGACATGTTTGTGCGCATATGTGTGTGTGCGGGTGTGGGTATAACAACTGCAGCAGCAGCAAGTGAAAAGTCAAAAATGTTAATTAAAACTTTTTAACATGCATAAAACAAACATCGATACACACACACGCACACTCACTCTGAGAGTTTTAACTGAGGCGGAGGCAAACTGTTTACAGTGCAGCTTGTGATCTTTGTTGATGTTGTTGTTGTTGTCGTTAATACAACCCCACCAGCAACAACAACAACAAAAGGTTGTCTACAAGTTGCTGACGATTAAATACCCTACCAAAAAGCTTTACATAATATAAGTCTATCTAGCCACACAAAGGTTTATTAATGCATATATTTAGCTCAAGCTGATTGACCCTATAGGAACTATATGCCATAGTAAGGCTGATATTCAATAGACTTTGTACTATGATACATGTTTCAGGTCATAATTAGCACAATAATCACATCATTACTGAGATTTTTTCTAATATCTTTAAAAAATTACAAGTTTTCGATCAAATATACAGTTCTTTACTGTCTATCTGATATTGTATATGATATATCTAGCAGTGCAAAAAGTTAAATGATATATATATATAAAAAATAAAATGTTCTATGATATATCTAGCAGTGCAAAAAGTCAAATGAAATATTTATATAAAAAAAAATAAAATGTTCAAGTATCGGGTACATTCTGTTGGCAAATCCAATTCAAATATTTTGGAAAGAAAATGTTTTTATAGCAGTCACATAGGTAGAAAAACTTTTTCCTGTGGACACTATGTGATATAGAGGTTCGATATTGATAAGATTTTGTAAGCATTACGAAGCTGAGTGAAGCTCATGAAAGTTAAGTTTTAGTTTGGTTTGGGAACATCTTGAAAACCGAACAAGTTTTTTATATAAAGCTCAATTATCGATCAATTGTAACGATGATAGCTTCATAATAACTTAAATTACCTCTCGTCTACATAAAAACTGGCCTGGCTGCAGTTTAAATCTGAAACTACTCCAATTTTTATAAGGATAATCAAATGAAGCGTATCTTTCATTACGTGGCTCAAGGCTTCATAAAATCAATATACTCTCTGCTAGGGCATGAGCAACACATTTTGCAGTTATTTACAGCAATTTACATTGGCAGCTCTTTCCGCTCTCCTTCTTTCACTTTTCGTCTTTCTCTGTCACACACTTTTGAATCATCATCAACGAACATAATTACGAGCTTTTGAGCTGAGAGACAACAGACACTCACCTCGACATCAATTTCATTGGTTTTGGTGAATATCTTCCAGGCGGGATTCTCCTTGGGCGTATACCGATAGAACTCCCTGCGACCCCTATACCATTTAACCGCATAGAGCGTGTCGTTCTCGATGTCATAATTGCAGATTAAGAGCGCATTATCGCCGCGTTTAACGGCCGCCGGAATGTGAACGTTAACATTGCGCAGCCCAGCAGCCAGCTCTGTAAAGAGAAGGAGACAGAGAGATAGAGGGGATTGAGTGGGTGGCCAGACTGAGAGAGGTGTGTATAAATGTACGTAGCGTATGCCCTGCAAGTTAAGCAACCCGTGAGCATTGTCACAAGGGCTTAAATATGACAAGTTATTGTAGCTTAATTATGATACCAGGCAGCTTACATTGGATTTTTGTGCAATCAAAACTTTGGAGAGCTTCACGGCAAACGCTCGCTTTAAGCTGTAAACTGTGTACATGGATATAGACTTATGATAATCTTCCTTTTAGTTACAAAGCAGCCAAATTAGCTTCAAAAAGCGATAACATGCTTTTTAAGTATCCTAATTTCTTAAGTTATTATTTTCTGATACAGAATAGACTCTTGCTGCTGATGCACTCGGCCGCCAGGGTCCTGGCCGACCCCATCACCGAAGGCTACAACCCGACGAACTACCCACAAGGCGTATTACTTAAACATTCTCATCATTGTTTATCCCAATAAATACCATATAAGTTACAAACCAGTAACTATACCATCGCTTGGTAGAGATCAGAAGGCACTGCTCGATTCCCGCGCACAAATAAAACATATTTAAATCAAAAAAAAAAAACTCGTGAAAGTTATAGCTTATAGTTGTAGCTGAAAAGATTGAAAAGATTATATTAAACCATTTTCATTCTTTTTTATTCTGATATTCGATTAGCATGAGACGCCTTCAAATTAAAAACCCTTATAAACTTACAATATCTTGGTTTCTGATTTTTTGTTGTTATTTATTACTTGTTCATAGAGAACTGTGTAAAAATAATAATTTTTTCATGGATAATGCGCTCAACTACTTCTGTATGCTAAATAATAAAAATGCTTTGCCGCCAATTCAATTTAATCACCACCGAATAAGATATTCTTACTCTCAAATAGTTTTATTTTCTGATTATTTATCCACATCCTCTCCCATTCTAAAAATATCTAAACAAAATCTTTTTATAATAAATCCCAAAAACTTCTCTCGCTAAAATTTCATCAAGAAAGCCCCTTAAAGAAAATATACCGAGTCTAAAGGTAAAAAGTAGGTCAGAGATCTTTACAAATACAAAAAAAGAGAAACTAAATAAAACGCACAACCGAAAAAAAACTACCTCTTATGCATACATATATAACAGAGTATACATACACACGCACACACATGACCGACTGCATGTGATGAGTGCAAGCGAGATAGCAAGAACATAGGTAGCCCCGTTTTTACACGTAAAGCTGATAAAACATTTTGTACTCTCCCTTCCCCCCCTCCCCCCTCACAAACCCAAACACGAAAACATTCAGCGCTCTTGTAGGTTGATTTTGGCCAGATCGTCGGGCGCTGCCCTTGCGACCCTGTGCGCCTGGCCGTTTTTATAAAAAACTTCCTAGTAAAATTAAAAATCGAGAGTGAATTTAGTGTTTTCGAGTCAGACGACACAACAGGTCGCATGCGGACTATCATAAATCATAAAGCCGACCATTCACATAGGAAATTGCGCTGCCACCGATTATCAGGGCTGCAGGAAACCATGTCAAGTGCTATATACACACATATGTAAACGGTAGATTAGTAGTAAAATCGGGTTAATGAAAGAAACAGAAAGTCAAGAGGGCTCTGGCGAAGTCTGCACGACGCATAGATACGACGTGCTGCCAAATTCTGGGCTTCCGCTTCACTGTTAACCTTATTTGAATATGACTATGAATTGCATCTGTGAATAATCGACTGCATTTAGGCTTACAGATATGTATAACAATTTGTACTATGCATACACATCTATGCTAAATTTGGCAGCAATAGCTCTCTTAGAGTCTAAGTTCATGTGGACAGTCGTTTTGGTAAACCTTATTTACTCATATTATGTTTAGAGGGTATACAAAATAGTGATGACAGGCTTGTTGTAGAATGTGTTGAGGCCAACAAATTATCATATTGGATACAAGATATGAAGGTACTGCGATAAATGCCGGTACAAGAGTCATATTCAATTGCTTATTTATAAAACTATTTATTAAATTTATATTTTTATTTGCAACTATTTATTTATCTTTTTGTTTGCTTTATATTCATGCACTTATTTGCTTAAGTGTTTTGTATACTCATTTATTTTACATTTTTTGTTACTTTATTAATAAGTAAAAAATAAATAAAATATATTTAAATTATTAATTTATATACAGAAGTATTGCATTTTATTTCAATAAACATTAAATTCTCTTTTTGGTATTCATCGAATTTATATGTATGAACTAGCGGGTATACACTGCCAAAATTTCCCAAATCACTGAAGCATTTTCTTATGTAGAGCTTTAAAAATTAGGATATGTTGCCAGACTTAGATGCCAAATTGATATTGAGGCCAAGCAATGAACAAAGGCCCCAACCTCGTGAAAATCGAATGAGTTTTAACCGAGTTATGGGGCTGAGATATTTTGATCTATGTCAATTTGAGAGTATATTTTGTAAAAAACTATTACAATTACGGTTAAACTATAACTACAACTATTTCAGTTCCCTAAAACATTGTTTAAAGCTTTCAGAGCTTGTATCGCTTAAAAGTCTTTTTACTCCAGAGCTTATGATTTTTTCGAGTTAAAGAGAAAAATATTTTCAGTATCCAAAGAATTCTCTGCGAAATCTAAAAAGTAGTCTACGAATTGAAAACGCTTTATACACTTGTAAGAATAAACATAAAGCATTCCTGGGAAATAAAGGTATTAACACCAATATTGTTCTATTAATAATTGTGAGATGTAAGATAAAGAATAGAGGATATCATACTTAAAATAAAATTATGTATATAAACAAAAACATACAATAAACTTGTTTTTCTATGTAAGACATATCTATGAACATGTAAGAATGTATTCAAAAAGTATTTATAATAAAATAAAGGACTCAAGATAATATTTTACCACAAGTTTGTATATCCATCTACATATGTATGTAAGTAGTAAAAGGTAGCCTAGTCGCAAAGTCAACATGCATATTAAGATTAGGCTACATATGTAACTTGGATATGGATATGGATGCGAGGCGGCACAAGAACCGGTTGTTGCTTGGATCCGGACTGGTAAAACAATTGCTTAGCTGGTTGCGTGTTGTTGGATTGTCCCCAAGTGGGGAACTGCTGTCGACCGTTGTTTCGGATCGCCACGCGACGCGTCTGTCAGCTTATTTCTGGTTAACCTTGAATGCTAATTGTTGTTTCACGTTGATTTTTATGGCACTCGCGAGCTCTGTACACGGTTCGTTGTTGTTGTACACATATCAACATAAAAATTTCATGCTGCCCCCAGACCGGGGGTGCCTCCACACAGCCGCTGTGCGCCGGTTCCAAATAGTACGAAAAAACTAATCACATACGCCGTGTCGTATGCCGGCGCTCATCTAGCCGGGCAGCTGCGCCCAATGGGCCGCACTTTGCGTAAATTTGCGTAAACAAAAACTATTTGTTTTGCCGAAAAAAACAAAAAAAAAAAAACACAAACCCAGAGAGAAGCCGGCAAAAAGCGAGCACACTTTGTGGTAGTTTGTCTAGAGCATCTACAACTATTTAGAAACCGTTGCTGTTCTATTTTGGCCAGGCCAACAGAAGGCTTACCAAGTGCTCGACGCGCGGACAAGTTTAAAGCTAAAAAAAAAAAAAATAAATAACATAAAGGAAGCCTTGAAGCGCACAGTGATCGGACTGGAAAACCTTGGAAAACCGAAAAAAAAAACAACAATGCGAGCAACAATAATGTTCGTACTACCGAATACTCACAATGTGAGCACGAGTATGAGCATGAGGGCAAGTATTAGTATGAGTGCGAGTGTATTTATAAGAGTATATGTGGTACATATGCATGTGTAAATAAACTAAACATACAAATATACTAGAAGCTACAGAAGCAGAATGCTCACCAAATAAATGCGTAAAAGCAGCTTTTATTAAAATGAATGAAAACAGAAATAAATTCAAGTTAAATCAATATAGAAAAATCTCGAGGAATTTTAAGGATCTATTTATATTGTTTATGCATGCGCCGAAAAACTTTAATTTTCACTGCCATAATAACAAATGTTAGTATCATTAGATATATAAAAAGAACATATATTAATTTTAAATTAAATTAATTCAATTAAACTGTATGTATTAATAAATGAATTTAAAAATTAAATCAATAATTTTTATTATATTATAAAATTCAATAATAATTTTTTTATAATAATATACTAATTTTAATGATAGTTGACATATTCCTGTCATATCGTTAGTATTTCTAAAAGTATATTAATTTTAATATTATTAATTTTTTTTAATAGTAATATATTTATAATATAATATTTATAATGAAAGTATATACTATCCTGTCATATCCTTGGAATTTTTTAAAGAATATTTGCAGCAATAATGATAATTATAATAAAAGTTACATAATAATCATATCTAAAGTATAAATAAAATGATAAATATTATAATATTGTTAATAATAATAATAATAATAATAATAATAATTATAATAATAATAATAATAATAATAATCTATCAGGTTCTAAAAGTATGAATTTAAAAATAATAAAAATTACATATGTATGTACATTTACATTTCCTTATCAAATTTCTAGCATTTCCAAAATTCGGATTATTCTCCTATCCCTCTATGATTCCCTGTCATATTTAGAGCATTCCCAAAAACATGCACACAACAAAACATTTTACAAACCCACTAAAAAGACCCATTTTGCCTGTAGGTATTTTATTTTATGTTGTTGCTTCTCTTTCCCATCAATTGTTAAAGTTTTCAATACCAGCCCGACCAAAAAGCAGCAACAACAAACGAGGTCAACAGCAGAGCGAGAGAGAGAGAGAGAGACAAAGATAGAGACAGCGAGACAGTGTGACAGAGAGGGGGAGGGCGATACGCATAACGCAAATTATGGAGTCGAGTGCCGTTCAGCAGGGCGATTATGTTTGCCTGTTACTTTGTGCCTGTATATTATCGATCATGTTTTAAAAGCGAAAGTGAAGACGACGGACAACCACCACGAAATGCCCAGCTCCCCCCGCTTTGCAGTCACAGCAGGAGAGGCAGCAACGGGCGGGTGACGCGGTAGCTGATTCAGAGCTATGGGCATGGCAACGAGCAAATATATATAAATGTGTGTCTGTGTATGTGTGTGTGTACGATAATTGTACGCAACAGTGGCCCTCAATTTCTTGTTGTTGTTGATATAAAAGCTTCAAGTTTTTCATGCGACTGTTTTTGTTGCGTCTGCTTCAGCCGCTGCTGCTGTTGTCATCTGCGCGCCTGTGCCATAAACAAAGCAAGCTATCGATTTCTACATAAAAAACGAAAGTGATGGCCGCTACGAAATACACATCTGTACATTGTTGGCCCTGGTGCAATCGTGCCGTGGTCGGGGCCCTGGCATACAACATCACTTAACCCAGTTTTGGGCAAGGGCAAACGCCTTAACTGACCCCGGACGCAAGGTTCAATGCACTGCCAGTCGCAACGAAGGTAAACGCCCCTCAACAGTGTCACGTTCAGGGACCGCCCATGACCCAGCGACAGCGACAGGGCCAGCGATCGGCGACGATTGAAAGAAAAATCAGACGCCTTTTGCGTATAGCAGGCGCGCAGTCGCAACGACCAGCTGCCAACAGCATTTACAGTTGCTTTTTTCGGCAGTTCAACGAACCGCGCACACGTTCGAAATATTCGAAGTTCGTTGACCCGCAAAGAGTACGCCAGCAGAAAGAGAGAGCAACATGCGGAGAGCGCACAGCGCGTCAGCATTACAGCGCTGACGTCAACGCGATCGCGTACACTTGTTGCGAGGAAGCTTGAGCGAGAGCGAGAGCGTGAGAGTGAGAGGGTGGCGTGAGTGTTGACGATTGGTTGACTTTTTAAGGCTAGAAAGCCGTTGGGGTTTATGTCAATATATTAATGAAGCGCACACGTAACTGCATTTAGCTTCTAATAGAATAATAAAATAATATTCGATTGAATAGAAAAGAACACGTAAAAAGAGATTTATTTAAAAAAGAAAAAATTTCGCGGTTTGTATATTATACGAATTCCTACATACTACTATACAATATTCGCTGAAATATACACGTAATAAGAAGTTTTATTAAATATTCAAAATGATCATATAAACATGTTTATTGTTATTATGATAATTCATTTAAATATTTTTAAATCATGCTTCTAGTAATATAATCAGATATCAGCCAATACATAGCCTACTATACGAATATCAGCCCTATTTATTCTATCTAACAAGTTGCTCAAAGCGAATTTGACATTATTATCAAAACTACCGCATTTCTAGGGTTAATTTAACAATCGCTAAGCGGTTCGCCTTATAGAGGCCACTAAACAACAAATAACCATCCAACTTAATATATTTTTACTTTTTCTGCCCGCTATAAAACATTAATTTTTTTGTTTAATACGAAATCATAAACTTTTTGTAACAAGCGCACAGCAAACGCTTGAAAGTCATTTGTTCAATGCATTTCACACGCTCCACAACTCGTGTGAATGGAAATGGAAGTGGAAGTGGAAATGGGGGGTGGGGTGGGGGATAGTGAAACGGGCGAGCGTAAAGCCCGCACAAGGTTGTCTGATAAGCGCAGGCAATAGCACGCAGCTGGAAGCAAAACATCAAATGATATTGCGTAATGCGGATGTGTATGCGTGTGTATATAATGTATTGTGGTGCGTCTGAAGAGAGCGTTGTAAAGACTGCAGAGCAGCTAAAAAACGCCTACACACATATTAACCTATACAATATGCCCAATAAGACGATCTTGTGCTCAATCTACATACAAAATTTGCATATTGATGAGTAGACTCTGCGTCCATTCGAAACACTTTCGATTTCAACGAGTTTCTGTGGCGAATTCTATGCGGAGCATTTATCCAAAATCACAGGCGTACAGTTTTAAAGTGGACGTGTTTGTATCTGTTTCGTCTCTGTGACAAAGTGTTTCTCGTTCGTTGTTTTTTGTTTTGGATAAAACGTGATTTCTCTGAGCGCTATATGCATACATTTGTATCTATGTATTGCTACACTTAAAGAATACTCAAAGCAACTTGTATGCTTAAATTGGTATATAAAACATTCATTTAAACTTTAAATAAAATACCTCTCTTGGGATGACGGCGACGATCGGATAGTTATTGTCCATTCAAGTGGAGTGTTTGCCTAATAGAGAGAGAACCCCAGAATAAATTGATATACATACATATGTATATTTAAAATAAAATAACTTTGAAAAATGAAAATTCTCTTAAATTCGATGAGCGCCCTTCTTGGGCAAAAAATTCTAATATGATAATTAAAACTTATTTGGTAGATTTTTAAATTTTTGTACACATTTTTCAAAATAGTAAGTTCTTTACTTTTCGTTCAGTGCTTTTTTTTATTATTTAAACAAATGTGTCCAAAGCTAAGCAGAGAATTTCAAATCAACGAATAAACAAATTAAACCCGCATAACAAAAGCGATAAATACATGTATTTATATGTATGTGCGTATGTGTGAGTGTGTATGTGTGTGCGCTGAGAGGCGAATACACACACACATGCGCACACAAACGTATATACAATGGGCGTATATTAAAATGATTGGCCCAACTACGGCATTATCAGTGAATTGTCGCTGTGCGCGAGACGCGTTGCTTCTTGAAAGCTGTACGCCTATTCGAATTAGTACAAAATAATACCGTATTTCCTAGAGTTTTACGGATTTACCGTTACGCCGTAGCCGTAGCAGCATAGAAGCAACGCTATGCTGAGGGCAAAGCCAAAGAGAGACAGTCAGCTCGAGTCGAGAGAGAGAGAGAAAGAGAGAGAGAGCGAGACAAAGAGCTGGAGAGAGGGCAAGCAGGCAGCGATGATCTCCCGTTTTTAGTACAGCCTTCATTTCTGTGTCCCGGGCCGCGTTTTATGAAAAACAAGAAGACGCAGCAGCTATTATAACCAAATGATCTGCTTTCGCAGCCAATAAACGTATTGTTTTCTTTTCGCCCTGTTTGTCGTGACGGCGCTCTTAATAAATATTTTTATTTTGTTTATAAAATTTAGCAGCCGAGAGCGTAAAAAAGTTTAAAACATTTTAAATAGTTTGCTAATTGAACAGGAGAGCAGCAAGCGCAGGCGGTACGCACCTCAAATTCAGTTTTGTTTTTGTTTTCTTACGATTGTTTTGGCTTCTTCTTCTTCTTTTTTTCTTTTGGGTAAAAGTTAAGCGCTCGCAACGTCGACGATGACGACGACGACGGCAGAGGCAGCGGCAGCGGCAGCGGCAGCGGCAGCAGCAACGGCAACAATCGAAGCGTTCTCTGAATCTCGAAACCACTTAAAAGTGGGTCACATGCGAATGAAGAGCGGCAATTAAAGGCGTGAGTGTGTCACGAGCACAAAAAAAAAAAACGTCAGCGACACGCGTCTCTGAACTGATTATATCGTACTTTACGATCTACATACATGACAATCTACATACTCCACATCTTTAATATGTACATACATATATATCATATACTAGCGGGTATAACCCGGCCTTGCCCGTGGCATGAATAAAATAAATGTTTAAACGGATCGGGTGGTAAATAAACAACTTTCGTACCAGAATTTCAGAATATTCCAAATGGCGAAAACAATTATTTATTAAGTTCTTATGTAGAACTCTGAAAATAAGTTTAAAGCAAATCGGACAAAACTTAAAACCTAACCAAAAAAATCTTTGAAATGCACTTCCCACCGAAGAAGTTTACATTTTGAGACAGACCTTTTCCACACTTGCGATTGGAATTTTCCGAAACCCCGCCTTAACGTGAACCTTCATCACATAATGTAACTACAGCTTCCTAGCTCTTACGGCTTGTGCGTTGCCCACCAATCAGTCAGTCAATCTGTCACTCAGTCAGGAAAAACAGTTATTTATAGAGAGATACATATACAACAAAATATAATGCTTGACGATTTAATCTCTAGAATAGCTGATATGAAGAACGAAGTCAGCACTAAAATCCATATTCAAAATAAGAAAAACCTAACCCATAAGTTTTTACATTTTTAAACTTCATTCCTTAATAACCCAAATTTTAAAGTTGTCAACTGCATAAATTAAAGAAAATTTAAAATCTTAAATCTTTTAAGAGATTTAAGATTAAAACTAAAAAGTTCTCATTATTCATATAATATTATTATTTAATTATTGTATACATTATTATATTTTGTATATCATATTATTTAAAAATTCAATTCTATATATATTTTTTAATAAATATAAGTATATTATATTATATATAATTAAATAACATGCATTTTAATTTAATAGGGTATTATTATTATTTTATTATTATTATTGCTTAGTCATAATTATCAAGCAATCCAACATTTATATATGTGCATATCATTAAGTTATTTTTTTTTCAAGGCAAATAGTATTTCAAATCTGTTTGACGTGGTCCAAGCTGTTTGAATATCCAGGGCATTAAATGAGTCAAATTAACAAAGAGTCCAGTTTTAGATTCGCTGCGGTTAATACTACCGATAACAATGCCCGCTTGGGTATACCGATTCATAGCCCCCTGAATGGGGCAAAAGAGCGGGGCGCCAGTGTTGAGAATGGAGGAATTTTGAAGATTCTCATCTATGGCACACATTAGACTCTCATCCAGCGTGTAATCTTGCGCCAAATATGGACTGGGCAGACGTTGATCGCACTTGTGCCTAGGCTGAATTTGGAAATGCGTTTGTTGCGGCCTGTTGTTTGTGGCAGGTCGCCAGGCAGTTGTTTTGCAGGCACTGTAGTCAAATATGGTGCCCGGACTGGGCAGGCAGAGGGTTCTAATGTTTGGTTGTAAAATAAACTTCATATCGACAACGAGTAGGGCAATATTATTGACTACACCATAGAATTCGTTATGCCTTATTATTAATTTCACCGAACGGTCTTGATGCGGAAAGACTTCCGTAACACTTCCAATATCCCATTCACCAGCCCGTACTATCAGATTTTCCGGTTTTAATTCACGCAGTAAAATGGCAGCTGTAAGCACAATATCTGGTGCAATCAGAGCTCCAGTCCCGATAAATGGTTCGTCATTGTGTATTTTCACAGTCCAGGAGAATTCCCCGAACTGTACCTCAGATGCATTGATTTCTTCGGCATACACAGATAATCCATTGGGATAGCCAAATCCGCAGCCTGTTTCCTCCATTGAATCTTTAAACTATTCAAATAATATCAGTTATAGAAACTGAGTTATTAGCTATTCTCCCATATACCTGCGGCAAATAGCTTGGCGTACTTTCCATTCTAATAGATTTTCCACTTCGATTACTGTTATCGACATTCGTTTGATTTGTTTTTAGAAATATGTCAACGTCATTTTTAGCTGTTGAACTGGTTGAGTATTGATTCACTTTGTTGTCAATGTAATCGTAGTTTAACTTGTCGTTAGAATCGGCATTGCAATTTACGCAAGTTAACAAGCAGCTGGCAAAGAGTACGCTCAGTACTCCATTGTAGTATATTTTTGGCATATTTCTAAGTGAATGTTTGCAATTAATTATTCAAACACTTTTCACATCACATTTCCTCTCACATTATCCAACAACGATGCGCTGCACAAAGAGTATGAATACGAACTACGAGCCGTTTCCTCTAAGGTCGTTTAAATATATCTTACATGAAAGTTCTACGGCCTTTAAACTTATATGTATACAATTTATATGTACGATTTATCTTAAGCTCATAAATATGATTTAAACTAAAGTATAGAACTTTTTATACCCTGTATTATTATTGTGATTACTTAAATAATTATCTTTGTTAGTTTTATTATTACTTTTAAAGTTATTAACTTCTAACCTACCTTTTTTTCTTTGGCTTTGTTGAAGGGTTTTCCCTGAATCATAACTCTAAGCAAGAAAGTAAAACTACATTTATTAAGGTAAACTCCATATGAATAAATTTAATACATTTCTTTTGTTTAGTTGATCAGTCAGTCGAGCACTTCGCACGAAATATGTATTATTTAAGGTTGTAATTAATTAGAGTTTTTATTATTCATAAGCAAACTGAAAGCTCTCAATTTATGTTTATAATTTCTTAATTATTTGTCATACGCTCTGCAGAAGCCTCTCTTCATTTATGTATACTATATTCTATCTTTACAAATCGATGTTCCTTTTAATTTAGAAAAAAAAATCGCATTTCAGTTCGCTTCAATCTTTCAAACAGTTCTTATTAATAAAGCTATCTGAAAACTCATACTTACTCTTCTCAATTACTAGAAACACATTACATTAAAGGCCTATCACAGCCTTAATTAGTCGTGCGGACTTTTTGTCGCTCACCAACATTACTTATTAGTATTATCACCCATTAATTAGCTCTCTACAGGCTTCTCTGCTTTATATCTTTAATTATTCCTTAGAGCTGGGCACACTGAAATACCTGTTATGCGCTGGCAGGATGTCAAGCTGATGCTGAACTGCAGTTCCTGTCTCAAACGGCGCCCATTCATGTGCAGCTTGTTGGCAATGCTTGAGGGCCAGTTGACACGGCGACAGATGTGAGCGTTGGCCTAAGGGATGGAGGGGTGGGGTATAGGGGCGTGGCACTGCCATTCGTAGCCTGGTCAGGCAGGCTGGTTGGCTGGTTGGCCGCCTGCCTGTTGCACTTTTGCACATAATCATGTCACATAAAGCGCACGACAGCGGGCAGGATATGAGCAAGAAGAAGAAAAAGAAGAAGAAGAAGCAGGAGCAGGAGCAAGAGCAACAGAGGCAACAGCAGTCGCAGCAGCAAATAGCTAGCTCCCCATCTTCTTTACGGGCTTTGGCCAGGTGACATGTGTCGCTTAACTTTAGATGGCTGCGGGGCGCTCTCGGACCTGTTTCCTTTTTTGAGCAATTTTAATACTCTGCTCGCCAAGCCAAGAAGAGTTGTTTGGTATTGCACTCTGTCATCAGTTTGGCATTCACTTATTCCTCTGCACCAACTTATTTCAGTTGTTGTCAAGCTACGAACAGGGTATTGCGTGGTCGGTTTCATTGGACTGCGGCATTTTTAGTTGTGTTCAGTTTGGTTTTTATGTTCTGTTTGTTGTGCTGTTGTGTTGTGTTTGTTGTGGGTTGACATTTTGTGCTGCTGCCTGTAACCGTACAAAGGATATGAGGAAGCGATTGTCGGTCGCTGGCACCTGGACACGATGGGTGTTAAAATAACAGGCAGCGAACATATTGACTTTTAAAATAAGCATTATGGCGGTAAATTTTTATGAAAACCTTCAGCCTGTCAGAGCCATTTCCCCGGGTTGCCAGTTTGCAAGTTTGCCCAGTTGGCCCGTTTTCCAGTTGCCGTTGGACGTTTGGCTCGTTGTCAGACAGCTGAGTGATTTATATGTATTGTTTAATATTATTATGGCTGGCAGTTTGCAGCTAGCTGGTAGCAGGTAGCAGGTGGCATGTGGCAGGCGGCATGTGGCAACTGGCAGGCCTCTTGCAATCGCTCAGCCGCTCGTTCCGCCCGTCGCGTCGGCTGTGCAAAATGCGAAAAATTGAGCACATTACAAGCAGCCGAGAATGTCCTTGTTCATGTCCCGTATCCGTGTCTGTGTCCGTGTCCGTGTCCATGTTCATGTCCGTGTGGTTGGCAATAATTGTTAAAGTGTGTGGTCTGTGAACGATGCGAATGATGTTCTGCTGGCCCCCGGCCCAAAGAGTTGAGCCTTTCAGCCCGGGCCACAACAGCTTGTGAGTGGCCATTGAGAAAGTTGACGTTGATGTTGCAACAACCGAGGCCTTCAGTTAACTCTTTAACTTGGACAGCTGATAATGGAATTTTTAATTATGACACTTTCAGTAAGCAGCTATCGGAACTGTATTGCATGAATGTACACACAGACAATGTGTTCGCCAAATACAATTGGACAGCTCGCGGAATAGTTCAAAGAATGCGATGAAAAGCTGAGTTACAGTTGAGTTGATAAATGTGTTTAAATTTTTAAAGAATTAATAATTTATATAACAAATTTAAAACTTTTGTAGAGTTATGCGAAACGGCACTAAGGTTGAAATGAAAATCAATTCGATCTATTTATAACAATTCGATTTACTATACTTAAATAAATTTACGTGAATTATACGATTCTACTTTAGGAACCAAACCCTAGTTGTATATGGGCCTTAAATGGAAATTGTTTAGCTTTATTGTATTGTATTGTATAGTTGTTATCAACCAAATATATGGCAGTTAAATTATATTAAATTTATTTAATATTCCAAGGGGTTCTAGGCGTATAGATCTATTACGAATCAAAGACTAACTGGTTGTAAGTCGTTTTTAAAGATCTTAAATATTTATCTTCTAGGCGCAAATATCTTTCGAGTATAATACAAAAGCAACTTTCATACGTAGACAATTTCAAGTATCTTATTTTATTAAAGGAGTCCTTAGACATGTACGCACTCATACACACACACACTCTCACACCCATATTCAGACAGTCGGTTGGTAATCGAGTTAAGTTCTTACCTTAGAGGCAAACCCTAATCACTTTCACTTTGCGTATACCTTAAACTGACCCAATTACAGGCCGCATAATTTGCTCATTAAATCTATACAACTGAATAAACAGCGGCAAGTTGCGAGGATACAAAAACAACAGCAACAACAACAAAACTGAATGTTGACATATTTAATGCGGGCTTAATTAAATTTCAAGCCAGCAAATTTGGATATTTTTCTTGTTGTTGTCAGCCGCGCATTTTGTTTCACCCACTTTTGAAAATTTGTATTTATTTATGTAACGATTGTATTTATGTAACACATGTAATGTATGTAATGGTAGTATTCAACAACAACAACAAAATATGTATACCTCAATTTTTTCGTTATTCCGGCTTTGAAGCAAGTCAAGTGCATGGGACGTTAAATGATTTCTTTACCTTAATTTGATCGGCTTTTACGCGATTTTACATGTTGCAATAATAAAGCAAAAAGTAAATTAATGTTTAATTAAATCGTCGGCGATATAAAGCGGAAATAGCGCAAATAAAAATACAAAGTATATAAGTAAATACATACTAACGCATATATGCATGTAAATGCATGCACCTATGTATATTTATATTTGTATGCTGTGTACTTATGCATATTTAAATGTTGGTATATGCATAATAATTAATTTCAATTTTGCGCTGCTGCGGCCTTTGTTTGGCCACACCCCCAACCCACCCCTACACACACACGCACACACACACTACAGCATCCGCCCTTGATTGATTGCATTTTAAGTGTATTTGTTGTTCTTGTTGTTGCCGCGACGCACTGTGGTTAATATTAAGCATCTGCCTAAAAGTATGCAGCACTCTTTTATTCAAATGAAAATGATTACTTTTTCTGCCTTTTTTGTTTACAGCTTCACAGAAATGCCTACATGGCGGGGCGTGGCATTTAAGGTTAAGCTCCTCTGTGAACAGGTGCTCAGCGTGCGGCCCTTAATTACCATTTGAAAGGGTGCGCCTGGGCTGTGGCGAGGTGGGGTTTATTTTTGCAGCATAAATCGCGGCTTAGCCACAGATTTTGTGCGTACAAATTAATATTTAATGTAACAACTATTAAAGAGTTGTATTAAAGGTAAAAATGTGAGCATGTGGAACATTGCGTAGTAGCCGACAGCGTAATACTCTGCTCAGAGTGTATTCAAAGTTTAAAGTGAATCGGGTACTTTTTTGATTAAAGGTATATATTTGAAGTCATATGCATATTTCTATTTATTTGCATTGGACAAGATTCTGAAAATGGCAGAATAATATATATATATAATACTATAGGTATTTCTACTGTCTTCTTTCTACTCATAACTTGGTCTTTAATCTTTAATCTTTTAATCTTTAATGCCATCTTAAAAGTCTTTCAGATTAGTATGTTATTGTTATCGATTACAAGACAGTGTTGTAAGTGCTTGCAATAATTAACCTTTGTCAATAGTTAATGACGTTAGAGGTCGCTTGGCAGATAGAAACTCACAGCAAAAAGTGTTGATTAGTCCAGATAAAATGCATTAGCTATGCATAGGCGTTAATACAATAGTAGGCCACAAATTCAGGCATTTAAATTATTCAGACACAACACAATTTGTGCTCTTAAAAGAGATTGTCGAGTAGAAGGTGGAACAGCGGCTAAATGAGATGTAGTTGAGTCACTGTGGTTGATATTTTTGCGTGTTTTGCGGCCCTAATTGGAAATACGAGAGGGGCAAGAGTTTAAGATTTGTAAGTTGACACACAGTCTTAGAATTAAAATATCTATAAATAAACATAGACTGTGTGTTTAGTGTTTGAAATATAATAAGCATTTGAATAGTTCAACCTTTTGAAATTCGATTCCTGAAATGAAATTTAAGTATCAAAGCAAACATAAACCGCGTAAAACAATTAAAAGTATTGCAAGACAACTGGTTGCTGGTGAGTGGGCTAAATGACCATTGAACGAATGAGTATAGAAGCTCTTTGCAGCACTGGTTAAGTCAATATTTTATCTGGGCACACCCACACTGTGTCCTGCACAGCAGCTGGCCCTGGTCGGCGACTTTCATCCACATTACAGTATATCCTATTGGTCGCATTGTGGTTTGTGTTCGTGTCGTTATGCTGGAGATCGTCTACTTTGTACTCTATGAATTCTTCAAGTTTATCTGCCCCATGCGCATCCTAAATGATATTGAGGACATAGAGTCAAATTTGGATACGGACCTGAATGTCTGGTATGAAGCCTGACATTGGGTTCCCCATCTTTTTTTTTTTTTTTTTTTTTACATGATATGGCAACTAATTGATTGATGGTACGTCCACAGTTTTCAATAAAGGACATGCTTTATTTAGCTTGAGATTGTGTGTTGCCAGGCAACTTGAGCATTGCCTCGTTTCGCTACGCTTTTTCGCTCAATTGTCACATAATTTTCGCATAAATTATCAAATAATTTAAAGCCCACCCAGCCCCAGCAACCCAACGATTGCGTAGGTAACCAGCGCAATGAGCATCAAATCAAATTTATTGCTTTGGCTTATGCTCAAGTATCTCAGGACCTAGTGCGAGGTGGAAGCTGCAGTTGGGAGGGGGTATCGGGGGGACGGCTTACTATCAGGCAATTGAGTGGCGTTGAGTTGGCTGTAATTGCGTATTAAAATTATACACCAGGGACCATTTGTTTAATGAAATGTTGCGATGTCTGTAAGCTAATTAGGTTGTCCTAGTCGAGTAGTTCGTATTTATGCAAAGTAACGCAGTCCCCGAGCTACGGAGTAGCTAGCACCAACTGATAGTTAACGGTGATAATAATGTTTATGATGATGATGATGACAAAGCGGGTGGTTAAGCTTTTCATTTGCCGCATGATAGGATATATGCGGTAAATGCGTTCAACATGAGCAGAAATGGCAGGCAGAGCCATATTAAATACTTATGTAATCGGATTTAATATACCTGGAAGAGCAAGAAAAAATAGAGCGCGAGCAGCTCTATTAAAGCAATATATCACTTAAATTAAGATAATCTACACTTAGAAAATATAAAAAAAAAAAACACCACGAAATTATACTAAAACTTTGATTAGAAGTTTGAGCCATTTTTTAATTTGTTTGTTACTCAAATATAAAAAATTGTTTCTGGAATTAAGAAAAAAATGTTTATTGGATTGATTTTCAAACATTTAGAAGGAATATGTTTTAGAGGCGACATTCAGATAGTCAAATAAAAAATACAAGAAGGTTAAGCAATTAGGAAAATCTTCAATTCGCTCGTAATTGACAACTGTACACACTTTTATTAAGTGCCATAATTAAACTTCAGAGGAATATATGCTATATACTTAGTAGATAAGTTCAGATAAGTGTCGACTGGAACACATTTAGAAACTAAAGCAACTGTGTACACACTTTTGTATGATTTATTTAGTCCCTGCTCGGGCGCCGTAACCAATTCCTGTGCTGTCCAAAAAGGAATCGTCAATCGTTTGGCTCAAAGGCAATTTGTTTTCCTCTGACACCACCCACACACTCACTCACACATCCTGCGCTTTGCTTTCAGTCAGTTTCCGGGCAGAGTTGCTTTCCTGTTTTTTTTTTTTTTTTCGAGACAATTTGACTTTTGGCAGCGAGTATTGAGCGAACATTGAACTAATCTATTTGTGTTTGTTTAACTTTGCAACGATTAAGTCGACTCGTTGTCGTGTGTTGTGTTTTGAATGCGTGTTACGTGACGGGTTGTCATTTGCTCCTTCATTTTCTTCCTTTTTGCTTCTGTGTGTGTTTGTTTAGGTGTTGCGCATGGCTGTGACTGACAGTCCGTTTACTTGTTTCGATAATCTCACCTTTGCTAGCTGCATGTTCACGTATATATACACGTTTAAGTAGCCTGGTCAATTATGAGACAATTTCATGCTACTCCTTGGCATCCATTAATGCCGTAAATTAGATCGAGCGCCAGCTTTATCTACAGCTCAACTAATAACTTCTAGTTGCGTGGACAGCGAGCCAATGTGAGCTTTAATTAATACGCCTGACCGAGCACAGAGCCCACCTTCCATCTATCAGACCCTGATTAAACGCCTATGCGTATTACTTATATAGATTAGTGTCTGGGTGTGCGTTTCCTTTCTTGGATTCGAGTCGAGATTTGTTAATTATGCACGTTATAATTAATGTTTCCAGCTCAACTTATACACCATACTCTATCTTTATTCATATCGGCCTCTTTCCGTATCCTTGGCTAATTGTCAATAAATTTGCGTGCTCAAAATATCATTTTCAAGTCCGAATAGCCAATCCTCCAATTCTCCAACCCCCAATTAAGCTGTCATGCTGGCTGTCAGTTGTGCTTAATGCTTAAATGAAATCTAATCACGTTCTAATTTCAGTTAAGTTTGACAGCAATTTGAATGAAAGAGAGAGCGAGACAGAGAGAGAGAGAGAGAATGAGAGAAACGAGGAGGGCCATGCCTCTTGGCCCTTGCGTCCCATTCGCCGCCTTGTTTGTCACTTTGCTTGTATTTCATTTCCGGCATTTAAGTGTGGAACTGTTTAGTTCCTTTCAACTTGGCTAACAGCCAAAGAGCAAGCAAAAAAAGAAGAATTTGCATTCATTGAAGCCAACTAGAGACGTTGACAAGGCAAAAGATGAGTGCGTAGTTGAGTTGGCATGAGTTTCAATTGAGTTTAAGCGGGCAGGAAATGTTCAGCGGCTAATGAAATGCAGCAAAAAATAATTTTCCTGAGGCGGGCCTAACACGAACGGGAATAGAGAGAGCTTTCATTATTTGCCTTTTTCTTTAAGAACAAGCATTTTAGAATCTGTTATTGCATAATCTTGCTTTCTAAATCTTGAAAATCTTGTTTAGCATTTTTGGATGAAATATATGAACTATTGACTGGCTAAAAGCAACACCCATGTCCATCCCTAATTCCTACTGAGCATAACGAAAACTTACAGAACGTTAAAATGAGCTTAACATACTTCACAAGGTGCAATACGACTTTGACAGGCCCTGACAAGACTTCACTCTAAGCGAATCACGGACGAGCACAATAGTTCACGACCTCAGGCGTACATAACATGTTCCATCACAAAAAAATATTTATTAAAATTAAATAAATATATATTTTTTTAATGATGAAGCAAGATTAAAGCACAGAGAGTCTATGTGGGAAAACTGAGTATTTGATGATGATAGACAGTTGAAAAGTGGCCGACAAATGACTGATAACTTTTGGCCAATCGAGCAAAAAACTTAATTTAAATTTGTTTTAAACGAACTGTTTTTCCAAAAACTGAGCTAATTAGTGCACCAAATGAAAAGGATCAACAAAAGCTGCATGCAAACTTTGTTGGTGCTGCAGCAAAATAGTTGCAAGCTGCTTGGATGCACAGCTCCACAGCGCCCCCGGGTCACAATCCCAAGCCCACGCCCATTCTATGGAAAAGCTACCTCCAAGTACGTAATACGCAAATGCGCGCAAATTAAGCAATTACACAAGTTTGTGCAGGCGCCGGAGATAGCCGCAGCAGCGGCCAGAGAAATGAGATTAACGGGAATGTGGTGGACAGCTCGGTTGGAGTTCACCCAAGGACATTCGAGGATCTAATTGACACACAAATATGAACGCACTTGGAGCCAATTGCGGCATATAAATGGAATTTATGCGGCCATTCCAGACTGCTTTTTGCCACATTGCTTATTGATTATTTTTACTAATTTATGTTGCCAATAAAATTGTCAATTTGTATGCGTGTGCAGTGCCCAGTTACCCCCTTCCACGCCCTCTTCCCGTTTTCTTTTCAAGGGGCGTGGCTGACAAAACCATTAGAGTTAAGTGTCTGACTGAGGGTTCTGTGCCCTGTTCCCTGCTCCCTGGTCCCTGGTCCCTGGTCTACTGCTGTCCAGAGGGCACAATGCCAACGGCGTCCGCAAATTGACGCTGCAGGACATTTCTGGTAATGATGAGGATTCTTTTTTCTTTATTTTTGCTGTGCTTTTGCTTCAGCCAGTGGCAACCACTGAAGCGTTGCCCATTCGCTAGTTTTTTCTTTGTGCGTTCGGCCCTCTTTAAGTCCGTGTGCAGCTTATTATGCCGCATTGAAGTTTAAGCAGAGCCTTAAGGATTTCGTTTCGGGATTTCTGGCAATTGGTTAAAGGCGTCACGCAGTCATTTGCCGAGATTTCATTTGCACGAACCCTCTGAAGTGAGGTTTCGGCAGCAAGTGACTAGCTTTGAACTCTATATTTAATGGATAATGCGAATAAATGCCGGTTTTATATATAATAAAGAATATATTTCCTATTGTTCTGATTAACTGTGTGCACTTTAAAGTAAGGTTAGCTTGGGATAAAAGCACATATATTATAGTTGATTCTCTTTAATGTTTAGCTGCTTGATTGTTGTTGCTTGCGATTTGTTTCTTAGGCATTTTAAAGTATTTATTTATATTATTTCAACCTCCTCATCAAAGAGCGCAAGCGTGTCAAACCATTGCCCTGAAGACGGTTGCCGAGTTGCAACTGAAATACTATATATCAAAATAAATATATTTTAAAACAAAATTGTTTTCATTTCTACATTATTGATTTGCCCTGGGGAACTCGAGCAAGTTAATTAAATATTTTTAAAATGGAAAGCTTGCCAATAACAACATTGTACTTAAATTATATTTATCATTAATTTCCCAAATTGTTTTACGGCCATAGAAAATATACACAAAAACATTTGTATAAATCTACTCGATTCTAACAACAACTTTGCGGCCCTTTTTTTTTGTTTTTGAGGTAATTTTATATGAAGCTCTTCAATTTACGCCGTACAAATTCTTGTTAGTTCCATTGCGAGCATTACCTAGAAAGAAACCCACGCATTAACAACACTTTGAAGCAGTTACTAGCCCCTGCCCCGCACTCAGCACAAAGCACCCATTGCCACTTAGCAAACCTTTTGGCGATTACAACAACAACGTGCAGCCGTAAAGCTTTTAAGCCATTTCGGGGGGATTGGGCAGAAACGGGGCGGAGAGGTGCTGCCACTTGATGATGAAGACATTTTTCTTGCTAAAAAATGGTGTATTTACAACATCATTTGCGCTGAAATATATTGTTGACGAGGGG